TGATTGCCACTAATCTACATTCTACATACAATAGAAATGTTCGTAGCGTAAACAATGCATAATGCACAATTTTTATTTTATTTTTATTTTATTTTCCAACACGTTATTTTCCTAAGTCGACACAAATATGCTGGTCCCAAAAGTGTCGACTTATGCAAGTTTTATGGTACTTTCTATTTTATGCAAACAAGTGACAGATCCAGGGGACAGGAAACACCCCCCCCCCATTTTTGAACAAACACATACATAGAAGTGAATGCATGGCCTTGTCGGTCTGTGCCCCCCTTTTTTTTATCAAAACTGGACTCGGACTCGGACTCGGACTCGGGTGGTGTGGACTCGGACTCGGGTGGCGCGGACTCGGACTCGGACTCGGACTCGGACTCGGGGGGTGCGGACTCGGACTCGGACTCGGACTCGGGGGGTGCAGACTCGACTACAACACTGATAATACACTCCTGATATAAATGTCATACGTAACAGTTTTTCCATGCTTATTATCTTATTACACTGATTTCTAAATATTCATATTGTGTGCAATGTTATTGTCGATTTTTACCCAATGTTCCTATTGTGTCCCATTATTAGTAGTATGAATTAGTAGCACGATTTTACCCAGCGCAGCGGGTACCAGCAGCTAGTATCTCTATAATACGGCTCTGTGCCTGTGGTTACTACTGATCTAAATATGATTATATATGAGATACATAAATAGATCAATGCCGTAGACTGACAGCGCCAACGTTGACGATACACAATAAAAGCAGCTATAACGTATTTCTAGCTTGCGATGCATAGGCATAGCACGGTTGAGAATAGAATACGTAATATTATAATACAAATCGAATATATTATCACTAGTGCAAAAAGCTCGCATTGCCAGCGAGTCTCGTACGCCAAATGAAGAAGAATGTTGAGCTTAAAGTTGAACGTGAGTTTTCGTAGTGTAGTGGTTATCACGTGCGCCTCACACGCGCAAGGTCCCCGGTTCGATCCCGGGCGAAAACATTTTGTGCAGTGCGAAGAATTTCATTTTCTTTTAGTAGCTGCGCAAATATACATCGATCAATCGCGAGGTAACCTGGTGAATATTACAGTATTATATCAATTTAGGTTTTATACGCTAACAATATATCGGAAAGCAAATCCGTCATTTCTGATGAAAATCCATAGAATATGCGCATCCTAGCAGACGTATTGATTATGACGGCTTAGACGGGCACCGGTCGTCGCACCGTGCCAAGTCAAACACACCGAAGAAAACGACGTCGTCGAACATCTAAGCGGACCTCATCGCGCACGGAGAATCCGAGCAGCTGATACGACGCCGAGAGAGAAGCTGTGTTTACGGTGATACGGAAGAGAGGAGTTAGATCGAGCTAGAGCAGCAGGGAGAGGGTTTTCCCTGCGGCTAGCTCATACCGACAGGCGGTGCGCGGACTTCACGTATTCACGCGGGCACCGTGTGCTTTATTCTGTGACCATACGCCGCTATATATAATTATTCGTCGAGGAAGAATATTATGTTATCGATTTCGTAATATAGTATGCGTTCCACCCACGCATATTTGTAATACGCGTTTATTTATACTTGTGGTATCAACGAAGGAAACACGTACCGGGTACATCGGCGATCAACGCACCTACTGTGTGAGTATTATAGTAAGACGATCGATATATTATATATTTTGCTTATTTTATTTAATACAACGTACGCACGTACGGGTCGATGCAAATGATAAATAATCAATATTGCGGCTCCCTACGTAAATTTTGTCGCCTACAGTGCGTCGTTGCTTTAATAACGAGAAATACGCGTTCGGTTATTAAAAATGTGATAATTGACGATGATAAAGTAGTTATTCGTTTATGCAATTCGAGGCTTTGTGAATGGATGTGTTGCTCGTTAATCCAGAATCATGCTGGGTGACTCACTGGGATATGGCATTGAGGACCCGGCTTGGTCGACGAAAGCCCGCTCCTTTCTCTCTCAATTCAGCGACATTTTCAGCGAATTTGGGAGATATATTTCACCTGGCTATCAGCACGATAGATGCGAGAGGTATCTATTAAAATGTAACAGTATTTGTGAGCTTGAATAAGATATAACTGTAAGATCTTAGTTCTAATATATAAGATATATAAGTCTAAGATATAATTAATTTCTATCGTGTTCAGTTTGGTCGCGAATAATATGCGTGAA